CACTAGAGAGAATGCAGCTTTAAGACATGAAGCATCGGCTTCACTCAGCAGAACCGAAGGTTGCTGCCTGGCCATACCACAGGAAAACAATGGTTTTGCAGGCGGGGCCTTTGTTTTTGATCAGGCCTTGTTTCACCATGCTCAGACCCCAGGGCCCGTTTAGAAGTGTCGCCCCCTTCTGGGGAGTTGTAGGCCATGGAAGGGGTGAAGAGATGAATAATGTATAATACAAGATGGGATTGAACAAATTGCAAATAAATTAGAGGCACCCCCTGCTAAGTACTTAAGCCGATCTGTATCTCTATCCTTTTTGCCCTTTGGTTGTTGTTGTTTCTCTCACTTGCCTTGTCATGTATCAGTGTCGTCTTGTTAATCTCTTATCTTACACTATTAATAAACAGACATTATAATTAATCTATTCATTGTCGTTGCTCCTCGCTGTGTTTTGCTTACTTCCTGTTTACCTCCAGCTCTGTGCGAGTGCAGGATGAAGGAACGTTGTAACACTCCGACTGCCTCAAACAGTACAACCACTAAACTATTTACCACCGCCGGCGTTCCCGCTCTCAAATGGAAAAACCTTTTTGTTGATTCACGGCAGCCAAATTAGGCCTGTTTTTTTATTTTCTTTATAAAGCCATAATTGCGGCGTAATTGCTCCTCCATTGTTGTGTGTTTAGCTCAGAGAGCTCTCCTGCTAATGGCAACAAAACCACAAAGGTGTGAAGCTGCTGCCACCAAGCATTAATATTCACGAGGACGCAAATAACGACACAGACAACAGCGGCCACTCCTTTTGTTTTCTGCAAGAGGACGTTTTGTTTTGATGTCTGACATCAGCTTTGCCCAGAAACATGTTTATTATTTCTCTCACAGACACAAGTCTTGACCATGAAATGTAACCGTTGTGCCTTGTGGGGACCAGTTGTTGGTCCCCACGCTGCGGGGTGTCCCCATAATGTCAGTGTGTGAACAAAGTCGATGTCCCCACAAAGTACAAGTACAGACACGCCTCTTTTTCAATATACTCAGGACATTTGCTGCATCTTTTCCTCCAGTGTGAGCCAGTTATTAATTATTCATTCGTTGATTTGCAGTTCCTCATCTCAACTTCTGTTTCTTGGATCATGTGACTGACAGATCGACGCCTTATAGGACAACATTTCAGTCAGCATAGGCTCAAGTTTGACTTTTTAATCTGGAATTTGGTCTGAAAACTTGACTTAATCGAGTCGCTTACATTTTTTTTAAATATTAGACAATTATATTCATTATTTGAATCCGAACCCTTAGAGTATTTTCTTTGGTAATTATAATGTCAACATAAAGTCATAGTGGCTACATTTCTCAGTTAAGTATTTAGTTGTTAAACATATATTCATATACGCCTTTCTTTGCTTTCTTACAATAAGTATGTAATATGGAATTGGCAGTGGTGTACTGTACCTAAGTAACATTTTGATGTACTTCTACTTTACTTGAGTATTTCCATTTTCTGCTATAGCTATATTATTTTTACAAATGTTTACTACTACTTTTACATTTAATACCTTTGATTCCGAGTTACATTGCAGATTCATATTTAAAAAATTGTAATTAACGTATACATTATGATGTATTATTATGGATAAAGATAAGACTTGACTGCTACCCCACAGTGTACATGGCAAAACCAAATACCAGCTGCAACATTACAGCATCAATAATTATAATCCAGTGATATATAATATTCTGAAATGGGCCATTCTGCGATGCAATACTTTTTAGTTTTGGTACGTTATATTTTAACGCCAATATGTCACCTGATCGACTTGCTGCCTGCTCACCTGCTTCACACCTGTGCAGTAGGTCCACGAGCCAAAACCAATGCAGTGTAATACAACCTGTGATGAATCCTCCCTTCACCAAGGACATGATGTTCACTTCATGATGATCTAGGAGGATGCAGTGCTGCTGTTTGCACTCTACAGAGAGGCGCTTCTGTTATTTAGTCTAACCCTCATTGATAGAAATAAGGTGGACAAAATAATAGAAACACCTCTTTTGCACAGAAGACGAGCGATGCGAGATGATTCAAAGGCAGGTCGTTGAGCTTTTCTTTTTTTTTGCAACAAACACTTTTCCGGCGGCGTCTGCTGCATTAATGGTGTGTGTGCAGAGGAAATGTGTTTATTTATGAGCAGGACACAGTTAATTACCTCTGCACGCTTTGGATAATCATCTCCAACTTCAAAGACATTTCAACCCCCAGAGACCCCGAGAGTGTGTGTGTGCGTGTGTGTGTGTGTGCATGCGTGCGTGCGTGTGTGTGTGCGTGCGTGCGTGCGTGCGTGCGTGTGGTTGAGCCGGACGACGAGCTCAGGACGCCCGAAATATCTGCTGCTAATTAGAGGAACATGTTGAGTCATCAGCGGAATATTCACAGACACTCACAACATACAAGGCTGAGAACACTGGACCTGCAGGGACGCTGGAGCACCAACAGCAGCTCCAGATTTTACTCACTCATCCGTCCTTTCTTCTGCTGCTCATCCAGGGCGCTCGACGTGCGGTTGCAACAATTCTTCTGTTTCTTCAAACACGCATGCTCGTCTCGCTTGGCGGGTGAAGTCCAGGACACGCCTCTCACATTTTTTAAACATTAGCCAGGTGTTGAACACCTTCTGCATCGTAGCTACGAGTGTGTGCTACTATTTTCTTTTACATTCAAAGATCCCCAACCCTAACTTTAATAAGCATAAATATAATTTAAACGAGTGAGTTATATAAAAATTCACGGAGTCATGAACGGAGATATTATCTATAAACATGTTTATGTTCTGCTATAAAGTTGGGCATTTAAACATGGAGGTCTATGGGGAAGGACTCGCTTTAGGAGCCTCAAGTGGCCATTTGAGGAACTGCAGTTTTTTAGCACTACCGCGTTGGCTTAATTTTTTTAGCTTGACAGAAACACACTGATATTGTGGTCGGCTCCTTGTTGGTGATCGGCTTGCTGGTCTGTTCCCTTCCTCTTCTTGTCTATAAAGACGAGACAGAATGAAGAAAGGACTGTTGATTTATCTGTAAAGGGAGGCGACCAGGAGGAGCTCTGATCAGCTGCTAAACCGGCTCAACTTGAACAGGAAGGAGCAACTTGTTCTACTCAAAGTTTGATCTGAGGCCGTGTGTTTTCATCAAGAGCAGCAGAGAGAAAGCCGCCCTGTAAAGTAAACTCTCATCTTAGCTACAGGTCACCAGATCTGGAGCACATCGTCATAAACGTACTCTTTCCTGCGTGTCCTGCTGGTCTCAGCTCTCACTTGAGAAAACATTTGTTTGAACTCAGCATGAAGGCCAAAGCGACGCAGGAGTAGTTTAAAAATGTCCTACTGAGTTTAAACTGTCACTGCAGTGTTTCCTCCTCATTTCTGAATCATCAGCTCTTTCACGGGCAGAGCGACAGCGCCACCTAGTGGTCACTTAGATATGAGGGAAGGTTTAGTGTTTCCTATCGAAGGAGGTTAAAAGTTACACTCCCTCTAAACTGGGTTCTCCGGGTTTACTTACACCTGGAAAGAGTTTTACTTTTTAGAAGTACTTCTGATTGTTTGAAGGGAGTTTCTGTTCATTTAGAAGTGCATGATGTCATACTAAGTATGTTATAGTTACACCTGTGAACACATCAAAATAAGTTCGTTAAAATTGGTATAACTGAAAAAATATAGAATTAAATAAAAATTACCAAAATATTTCAATAAGATGAAAAAATAGTTTCATCTGTGCTTTTATTCTAAGATTAAATATATTTTAAGTAAAATATATAATAAATAAAGTAAGTTTACCTAAAACTGTAAGTAATAAAAAAAATATAATAAAAATGCAACTAAAATAAAACACCAGGACAATAAAAATCATATGAGCGTAAAATTTTAAATAATAAAACCAGGACTCGTCGAATCAGTGATTCAATAACATATTTTAATTTTTCAGTGTTTTAGTATAAAAGTCCCAGCCGCCTGCTGTCGGCTGGTTTCCGCTCCTGTTGGCTATAACTGTGGTTTTTCCCAGAGAATCAGCTAAAGTACCAAATCTATTTACACACAACATCCACATCCAGAAGGGCCAAACAACACAGGAAGTCTACCCATTGCTACCCTGCCAAAGTAAAACATCAAACACTATCACCTCACCGCTCAGATTTAATGCTAAAATCCCCAAAAATAAAAACCCCAGAAGAAGAGGAGGGGCCTCTACATATGGCTCCCTGTGTGCCCGTAGTATTTTCTTACAATACTCTCTCTATAAAGTAACGCATATACATCTTCTGCTTTACAATAAATTAGTACAGGCACATTCTCTGTCCTCCTACAGCCGACTGTAGCTCAGTTCAGGTGGAAAAGATGATTCTGTGATGACAAACAGACTTGAACTCATCACAGCACACGAACAGAAAGGCTGACAAACAAACTGGAAAATAAACAGTAGTGGGAAACTTGTGGGCAGCAGATTTCTTTTTTTTTGGTTTCGGTGTGAATGATGCACTTCAGGCATTTTAAACTTTGAGAGCATCTATATAGATTTTATATAAATATGTACAAACCAAAAAAAAGAGAAAGAAACAGTCCAGTAAAAACATTCAGGTAAAAAAAAAAAAAAAGAGACAAAATCAATTAATGCCAAAGACGAAAGAACTTGAAGCTTGAGAACTCAATAACTTACAAAACCGTTTAAAAAAATGAGCAGAAATATAAATGTTCATTACAGTATGCATGTCTGTATCGTCTCTGTGTAGAGATAGCACCAGCAGAAACGCGTCGGGGGGGTCATCACCTCCGACTGTATAAATATCTGAACACCGAGTACCAGAACAAACCGAGGGAGTGAATAAATTAGTGTCGGGCCTTGTACAGGATATTTACAGGAGCTGCTGCAGTCAGTCACACAGACACGCACGCACACACACACACACACGCACACACGCACACGGACATTTTCATGGCAGTGAGATTGTTGCAGCAGTCTTGCAGCACATTTTTTTTTTTTTAAGGAGGTCAGAGGTCAAATCCGACACATTCAACAGGTTCAGACCTGTGATTTTCAGTTCTCACAGCCCAGGGGTTTATTTTCTCTCAACGTTTTGCACCCGCTAACTGAGTCGTTGTCGTTGCATAGCTCTTTGACAAAAACAAAGATGGACGTCACCAGCTACAGTATTTTGGAGGGGGGGGGGGGTTCCAGTTCACAGGAAATGGTAAACATGTATGTGTGGGTTATTTGTGCGTATGAGCGTCTCTGCTTGTGACTGTGTTCAAAACAGAAGGCTGAAACAGGAGAGAGGGATGATGGGAGGATTTCAGAGGTGGTGTGTGTGTGTGTGTGTGTGTGTGTGTGTGTGTGTGTGTGTGTGTGTGTGTGTTCAGTCCGAGGCGCCGGCCTCGCTGCCGACGCGGTTCCGGTGGTTCATGGCTCGCTCGAAGGCGAGCCGCACAGCTTTTCGGATGCAGGAGGAGCGAGCCTCCGCCAGCTTGATTTTGTCGAGCGCCCGGTTGACACCGAAGGGAGCCATCTTGGATCTAGGAAGCCATTGCCTGAGGAGAGAGCGGACAAGAGGTCAGTTCCCAACGTATCACGTGCAGCTCACAACGCTCACAAGAAAACTTGCTTTTGCTTCAGATAAAATGCAAAATTAAACATTTATCAGCATGCTTGTGCTGACGATACTCTCGTCTTTCCCCAGATGACTACGGTTCTGAGACTCTCTCTTGCTGAATGAAGACAAAACCAGACTGTTAATGAGAAGTCGTTTTTTTCCTCTACTTTACTCTTTCAGTGAGTTCCTCACCAGCTGCGCTTGCTGTCGAAGAAGTGGACGAGGAAGAGTTTCTCTGCGGACCTGAACTGCATCCGCTCTCCGGCTCTGAGAACGACCGGTGGTGGCGACGGCGGCTGGGGAAGCTCCGCCCCTTTGTGCTGACCCCCCGTCCTCCGCGCTCTGGGTTCCACGATCTGCGACGGCCACAAACAAATGAAGAGCGGGACGGAGACTTTGAGTGAAGCCGCCGTCTCACAGTAACTAGTGTGTGTGGAGTGTTTCCAGAAGAAGCCGCGCACTCACAAGAGACACACACATGCACGGCCGGGTCGAGCCGCGGACGCTCTGAGCGAACGCGGCTCGACTCCACAAACACACCAAGCAGTCCGTGATCGGCCAGCTGGAAGCTGCTGCATGGCCGCGAGCACAAATCACGAGCTACGGCACCGCACGATGGCAGAGAGGGGGCTGATGGGTAATGAGACACGGTGTGTGGGGTAGGGTGGGGTGGGGGGGCTAGCTAGCACTCACTCACCAGGGCGGGGTAGGAGGGATATCCACTACATTTAGCCCAAACTAGTTTAAGAGGCTCCAGAACAAATGGAGGAGCGGCGGAGGGCTTCCACACCTCTACAGGAACAACGATAAGCAGGTTATGAGGTTTATAATGCACACACACACACACACACACACACACACACACACACACGCTTTTTAAAGATTGACTTTAAACAGTTGACGAGACTCCTGAGGAGTCACATAGAGGGTTTATATATGTATATACATATATATGTATACATACACACATACATATATATATATATACACACACACATACACACACATACACATACATACATATACACACACACATATACATACATATATATATGAGGCAGGAACATAATGGGGCTAGTCCTGAGGTATCTTTATGTATTTAGTAAGAACTTTACATGTTAAACCAAAGATACTCCGCACGTTTGTTGAGTTGTGATGAAGTGAGTCAATAATTCACTGAACCCACACAGAAAATAACGGACTTCTCTTCACTTCCACTTTGGCCCTCTCAGGTTTCCTGTTGCTGAACCACTTTCCTTTTTCGGGCTGAAACCTGCAGCTTCGAGTCTCCGCTGACTTTATCGAGGACCTCTGAGGCCCCCCCCCCCAAAAAACAAACCCCAGTCTGACAACCAGTGAGCTTGGGAGGAGCTTTGGTAAGCTCTCATATGAAGATTTCACTTTAAAAAATACTTTTACTTCACTGTTCTTTGGGTCTCACAGGTGGAACAGTGGGAAGTGATAGAAGAACTCAACGATGTTTTTCTCACATAAACAGACTTTTTAATAAGTAAATCAGAGAGGAGAGCTGACCGATCAAAGCGTGCCATGCGGTTTCATGCACATCCATCAGGTGTCACCGAGCAGACGGACGCTGCTCTGCTCACCTGACGAGATCTTGGCGGCTTTGGCGAACTCTCCATTCTCGATGCAGGTCCCCAGGGTGCTCTTGTCGTCCACGGTGCTCCGCCGAGCCGCCGGCGACCGTCCTTTACCGCTTTTAGAAACGATGACGGTGCTGAAAGAGACATGAATCACAGGACAACGTTTAGAGTCATGCCTCTGCTGTTGTGAACTTCTTGTAACAATTAGAACATCTGAATTATAACCAGGTCCTTTTCTAGTCACATCAACATATTTTCATGTTATTACATTTTTCTCATTATTACTTATAATAAAATAACTTCTTGTTATAACGTTATATTTTGCATGACGCATGTAATGATCCTCCATTTGATTATTGATGGTCAGATTGTCGCCTGGGTCCAGACCTTTGAATCCGCCCCCTCCGAGTTCGAGTTGACTGATTCTGTCACAATTGGCATCGTGACAGAATCAGTCCGCTCTGTGAAAAAGTAATCGACCAATGAGCGCAGGGGGAGGGGCTTAAGCTTTGTTTATACTCTCGCTTGGAGCCGTAGAGCGAGCCTCCACAGACGGCACACGAGCTCCGAGTAAGAACGGAGACGTTTGGACTCAGAGAGCGTCCGAACAAAATGAACTGAAGACTTAAAAGACAACGAGTGTAACCGATAGATGCCCAGAGACTGTTCAGGACTCGCTCCTGCAGTCCTCTATGAACCCACAAGTGACATAGATGACAGGTTCATATGTGTTATACGGTGTATGTAGAAGTACTACATGAATAAATAAAACTCATCGGGTCCAAAACAAACCTTCCAGTATAGAGCAGCGTCATTCCCATCATGCCACTGTGCTCCCACTTCTCATCTATTACCTGGGTCAGTAGAACGTTATCACGGTTAAAGCTGTTTCTGCGTTATCAGTGACCTGCACAGCTCCGGATTATAACCAGATAATCCGGAGGAGATAATTCCTCCTCCACTCACCTCGTGCCGCAGAGGACGCTCCCGCTGGAGGAGATGCTCGACTCGGAGGCACAGCGGCGACGAGGCTCCAGCAGGCGGGGAGATGGTGAGATTTCCTCCTCCTCCACCACGAAACCGTTTGCTATTCCTGAAGGGAAAGAAGAAACACAGCACGTGTCACAGTGTAGTTTTGGGTTCGTACTCCGATCGTTAAAATGATTTCTTCAACATTTCAGTTCATGTTTCGTCGTGGAGGAGATTCTTTTTTTTTTTTTTTTTTACCTGTGCCGAGGCGTTTTATCGGCGACTCCTCGTCCTCCTCCTCGCCGTCGGCGCTGCTGCTGTGTCGTCTTTTCTTCGGCAGGAGGAGCGTCTCCAGTCGAGGGATCACCACCGACAGGAAGGTTTTGGCACCCAAGGAAGGCGGCGTCACAGCGGACGCCTCGTGGCTCTTGAGTGGTTTCTGGGGGCTGGCGCTCTTGGACTTGCGGAAGAGGACGTTGTTGCGCCGGTTGCCCGTGCTGGGGGCGTCAGCGTGGATGACGCCGTTGGGGAGCGGCGGGTACGGGGCGTGCCCGTTAGGTGCGTCCGTGGGCACTGAGGTAGATGTGTCGTCGAGCTCCGAGGGAGAGCGATCCGTGCTGGGTTTGGAGGCCTTCAAAGGGGGCGGCGGCTTCGGGTCGGGTGAGGCCTCGATCCGCGACAGTAAGGTCACCAGCTCTAACGTGTCCGGGGGCAGAGGGTTCTCCTGCTGTGGCGTGCAAGGCTCTGCCGGGGGTTCAGGTAGTGGTTTCTCCTCTGCCTCCGTGGGGGTCCCACTGGGCTCTGGGGGCGGGGGCTTCCGGAGGGACTTCTTCAGGCTCATCTCGCTGCGGACCTCCGTGATGGTCTTCTTCAACAGTTTGAGCCTCTTGCTGCGTGACGGGCTGTTCTTCATGGCCGTGCTCAGGTCCAGCTTCTCCAGCAGCTCTCTCAGCTGGTCCTCCAGAGGGGTCAGCTGACGGTAGGCGGGGCTCAGCAGCCGGTCCACTAGAAGAGACAGATGATCACAGGATTATCTACAGCCCTTTTACAGCTGATTCAGGAGATTTTACTCAATCAATGGACTTACCGTCCTCCCAGGAGAAGGCGGGAGGCGTCTCCAGTTTCGGGACCTCGGGCAGATGCAACCCGCTGGGGAAGTCGAAGCCGATCCTCTCGGCCTCTCTGCGGGCCCTGCGGAGGATGGCTCCTCCGTGGTCCTGCATCCTCTGGGCGGCCCTGTGGAAGAACGTGTCCTTGGCGTTGTACTTCATGCAGTTGAAGATGATGAGGTCGAAGTCGGCCTCGAACTCCTCCAGGCTCCTGTAGACGTGGCCGTCGATGCGCTTCCTCATGGTTGAGAAGTCCATGGGGTCCTTGATGTGGTCCAGGTAGTCGGGAACCTGCAGGAGACAGGGGGGACGCGTTCACTTTCATTAAGGACATTATTTCTCTGTTATGTTTCACCTTTATTGTGAAAAGGTCTGTGCATTAAAACACAGACAGGAAGTGATGTGTTGGTAGTAACAGTAGAAAAAAAAAAAAACACTGATAAGAAGGTAAAATAATACACTGGGTTCCAGCAGGCGCCCAGTAATAGTTAAAAACTCGACTTCTCTACAACTGTCAAATAATGAATTTAACATTTAAAACGTTTTCTGTCCAACAGACAAAACGATGAAATGGCGGCGGACCTCGTTGCTGTTGACGGGCTGAGCGAAGATACTGTACTGGTCCTTTTCCTGCAGCTGACTGAGCACAGCCCGCAGCAGGATGTTGAAGGGGGTCAGCTGGACCTCCAGCGCCGACTGCTGCAGCTTCATCTGACGGGACAACACACACACTTGTTTTTTGGAGTCAGTGTTTTCCTGAATATTCACACACACACGTCGTCACGTGGAAGTTCTTCAGCGCGAGTTACAAAAACGCAACACTCGCTTTTTGCAAGTCCAAAATAAAACGACATGCTGCTCAGAGTGATCTCAGTGACCGGCTCGTCTGCAGACGGCTAACGTGAACAGAGGTTGCATTGACCTGAATAATGATGGATTATTTAAGTATTAAATTGAGCTTTGCGCTTTAGAAACAGTGAGGTAGTAAATGATGATCTACCTCCTCCCTCTTCAGCTTCTCTCTCTTCCTGATGAGCTCCAGCAGCAGGCGAGCTCTCTCCAGGTCGTGGCGGAGGCGGTGCCACTCCTTCAGCTGCTCCTTCAGCGCCTGGTTCGTCTCCACGCGGTCCTGCAGAAGAAACGCACAAAACTTTTGTGGTAGGAAGAACGACATTAAAGGACGCCGCTCCGCTGTGTCGGAAGCACTGACCATCTGCTTGACTTTGGGCGGCTGAGGGTTGGCCTGCAGCCGGCGGATCAACGGCACGTTGTTCCTCGACTGCCTCTTCTGCACCCAGTAGCTCAGCACCCGCTCCACGAACACCCGCTTCCTCTGGACCGCCACCTGGTTCAGGATGGTGTCGAAGCTGACCCACGGAGGAGGAGGCAGAGGGAGATATTAACCAATAAATACGCTACATTTCAGAGGGGTGAACCCGAGCAGGAACAAGCTTCTGTTGGTCCGACTGCTCGTGCTTCTTGACCCGCACGACTTCTTCATTCACCGTGTTACAGATGCACAGCATAATTATTACAGAAATAAGACCCAGGTTATAATAAACCAGAATTATACTTCAGTTACTAAACTTATTAAATTGTCGTGGTTTCCTTACCGAAACTAGCCCGGTCTTTACTAATGTTTATTTTCCAAATCTGTGGACCTGAACAGAAACAAGAAACCTTACTGAGCCGGACATCATATATACATTTTTTTTTATCTTGATCTGGAATCCGGTCTCAATGACGAGGAACTGAGTGGACCTGGGCGAGAAAACACTATTAATTTATGTGAGAGATGCATTCTGGGAGTCCTGTTTTGCCTGCCTGCCTACCTTGAAGCGGTGATACTGGGCCCAGAGTTGGTGGGGGTCTCGGGCTCTGGTTCCGGCTCGCCTCTCTTGCTCTTCTTCTTGGCCCAGCCCTTGGCCCGGGACTTCCCCCTCTTGTCGGCCCTCTTGTGGCAGGCTCCGTTCTTTGCATGGGGCTCGTCGTAGATGCCGAGCGACCGGCGGTCGCAGCCCTCGGGTGTGTGGCTGCAGCAGTACGCGGTCTTCTTCACGGAGAAGGAGGAGGAGCCGCCAAACGGCGTCACATCCTTGACGGGTTCCATCTTCATGTAAAGGCCGGCCCTCTGGGCGCAGCTGACGTGGAAGGCGGTGTAGCAGTTGATCTTGTCGCACTGGATGCACGCGCCGGAGCCCTTCTCTTTGCACAGGTAGCAGGTGAGCTTCCAGCGCGCCGGCGGGATGTTGCGCACGCCGTCGATGGGCTCGATGAAGACTGTGTCGGAAAAGCCGACCTCGGGCACCCACAGGGCGCACGCCACGTGGCCCCAGCGGTCGTCGTCCGTCTTCTTCAGAGCTCCACCTCGGTTGGGGCAGAAGACGCACTCGGCGGGCTGCGACGGACACTGCAGGCAGTGGCGGCACAGCCACTGGCCCTCGGGGACGTACGGCACGCCGTAGCACTCCTGGTGCACGGCGATGTTGCAGGCGTCGCAGAAGAGGATGACGTTGCTGTCGGCTCCGTCTCCGTCCATGCAGACGCAGCACACGGCGTCCTCGTCCACCAGCGACTGCAGGTCGCTCTGGCCCTGCGTGACCTCGTACGACTCCTTCTCGAAGCGGTCCATGAGGAACTCGAACAGGTTGAACGACACCTGGCTGACGCCCTCGCTCTTCCTCTTCTCGTTGATGAGCTCCAGCCAGGCGTAGTCCTCCTCGTCCATGTCGTACTCCACCTCCTCGTCCAGCTCCTCCGCTGTCCTCTCCGTGTATTTGTAATACGCCGCCGGCCTCTTGGGCACCACCGGCAGGTTGTACTCAACCGTTCTGACCTTTGGCTCCAACAGGCCGCCGGTGCTGCCGTGCGTGGCCATGAGCGCGGCGTTCTTCTTCTGCTGGTTGTTTTTGAGGCGCACGGAGCGCACCAGGACCTGCTGGGGCTTCTCGTTGTTCTCCTTGTTGCTGTTGCACTCCGTGATCTCCTGCGCCGTGGGGTCATCGTCGCCGATGACGTCCAGCTTGTCGTAGATGCTGAGCCGGTGCACGCGGCCGTCCACCTCCAGCTCCACGATCCGCTGGGCCTGCGCGTACGTCAGCGTCTCCCGGTTGGGCGACGGCTTGATGGGCGACGAATCTCTCTTCAGCACCGCGGGTCGGTGATGTCGACTTTTCTTCTTCATCTCGAAGCCGCAAAGACCCTGAGAACCAGACGAATGACACGACAGCGTCAAAGACTCAACTTACAATTTCTTAGAGTCATTAAGTCTGTGAAGCAACGAGCAGCGCACGCAGCAGTGTGTGTTACGTCTAACAGAACCTGCAGTAATCATTACCAGGCCTTGACCCTCAATGAGGCCTTCAGGAGCAATCATGCAGCAGTTAACGTGTTTACACAAGGATGTCTTTACCTCTTCAATCAGAGAGGACCACAGAACAGAGACAGTCATTTTACTTCCAGTGGTTTGTACTTGTTCTGCAAGTCTATCAAACTATGAATGTATTGCTGATGCAGAGCGTCTGTCACATGGTACAGACACGTCTTATCTAACCACAGACGGCCTGGATATTGTTTGAACATGTTTGATATATGTTCCACTGTGATACACGTGTTTCCAATTATTACGTTTGGGGAACATAAACGTGTTCAATCATTCTCCTCGTGTCACAAAATATACTAAACTGCTAAATGTACGAGGGCTGCACGACCATGGCCAAAAGGATAACCGGGATTATTTATTCATTCATTTTAAGGACAAAATATTTCCGTGTTGTGCAACATTGCTGCTAATGTACAAATCTGTATCCATTCACAAATGAAACGGGTCCTCCTTTCACATAGTGTGTCTGTTTGTGCAGCTTTAATTCATTTACTGGGTCATGTTTTCAGTTGGTTGTAGTTGGGAGCAAAGGGGGCGGAAACGATAACGTTCACTGGATGAAAGAAAGAAAAGCACCACACCTCCACGGCCACTCATGACAGCGAGCCCGGCTGAAGCCGCTGGTTGTTGGAAATAATCGGCTAACAGCAGCTGCAGCCCGTTCGGTTTCTCTGGTGTATGTGTGTGCGCTACCCACCGGCTAACGTTAGCTCCTCTTTAACTGAACCCACAACGTTTATATTTTGTTATTAATCGCACCACAGCTTGAAAAGCGATGCACCACACACGGGTCCGTTACAATAAAAGAAGACCCCGGTGTGTCCTCCTCCTCTCCGGCGGTTGGCCCTCCCGGTGGCCGGTTAAACGCATTAGGACACTCCGTCCACAAACCGGGGCTAACGTTAGCCTGCTAGCATTAATACACCTAAACTGAAGGGGGAGGAAATATGGCGACCAGCACAACAAGAAACTGCCTAGATTTGTAAAAGGGGAGGCTGTCTCTCAGACCAGCACGGACTGGTTTTTAGATGTAAACTAGTCCGGACTATAAGGGGGGTGATATTAAAGAGGTGAGGACACAGTGGGGCTGAACTTACCAAAGGTATTTTCACGAATTCAGCTTGTAAAAACAGCAGCAATGGCGGCGCGGCCCTGCGGAGCGAAGCTGCAGTTAAATCCACATTTTCAGTCCGCTCGTCCAACGGCCGCTGCTCGCGCTGCTCAACCGAGTTAAACTTGAGAAGTAACCGACAGATATCCAGCGCGACGGAGCCGGTATTTTACTTTAATCGGTTGTAATTTAGCTGCTCAGTACGGCCGTTTAGAAGCGGTTAGAAGCGGCAGAGCTCAGCGGCTGCCCGGAGCTTCTCTTCACCCAACAACAATGCGGTTGTGCGAGTCGTCCTTACGTTATGACGTCAGCGCGTACAGACGCAGTACGTCGTAATAGTAGGGACTCAAGTACTGGACTAAAGTACAAATCAGAGGTACTTGTATTTTACAAGTATTTCTATGTAATTTAACTTTATACTTCTCATGCACTACAGCTCAGAGGTACATATTGTACTTTTTACTGTACTACATCTCAGATGTGAGATACGTGGTTCTCACAGCTGTAGGTTAAACTAACCAACAATATATAAATAAATAAAAATTTGCACAGCCGTAAACATCTACAGCAGCAAAATGCAAAATTGCTTGGAGACAAAAATATAACAGTTTATTCACTCTTAAAATACAAATCACGTAAACCACATTTGACGGTTTGCCTCTAAGAGATGACTTTTATTTTTAAAATATAAAATGTTTACAATTCCTCAAGCCTAATGAACGGAAGGATCTGCCACAAATAAAAAACATGAAATCAGAATAGTAAAAATATCTGGTACAGTGTGGTGTGTTTAGCCTAGCTTAGCACAAAGGTGGATTAAGGAAAAGGCTAGCAGTTTCCCCCTGCTTCCAGTCTTCGTGCTAAGCTAAGCTAAGCACACCAAAATGCTGGACTGTTCCTTTAACTCGTCTCAGGTGGATTCGGCCGCTGCCTCTGCCTCCTCTTGACTCTGGTTGGACGGAGCGTCTTCTCTGGACAGCAGGTTGTTCTTGCGCAGGTGGCAGGCCTGCTGGTAGGGGGGGCGTATCGGCGGCTGGGTGGGGGGGGTGTACTGGTACTGTTTACCAGCATCCAGCTGAAGAAAGAAAGAAGGCAACAGCTCGGAGATGGTTTAGGTGTGACAAAAAGAAAAAAACATTTACACACATTAATTAGAAGTATTTGACATATAGTTTCAGTTTATTCATATCTAAAGGGATTCTTAAGTCTGTCATTCAGACATGACGGCATTTAAAGAAGAATCTGCAGGATTTGGGGTTAATTCATTATCTAAATGAATAGATCTTTAAGGGATTATCTGCACTAGTTTTACTGTAAGAGCCATGTTTCTGTTATTAAAGATAGTCCTGTGTCTCCTCACCTGCAGAGGGTAGGTCCTGTCCGAGTCGAAGGCACTGAGGTCACCGCACGCCAGGAAGGGAACGATGACACGGTTGGGACCCTCCAACTGGTTAAAGTCCACATCTGAAGGACAGAGACCACAATCCAGACTGAGGAAAACCAGGACCAGGACACGCAGTGAAACAAGAGACTACCGGTATGCAACCTTTAAAATAAGAAATAACGCATTCGTCCTCTTTCAAAATGACATAAGATATAAAACACTCTGACCAGTAGTTTTTGGTGTCTCTGACATTACTGACTTTATGATTCTTCTCTTCTTCGTGCTCCTGTTGCACCATGTTTTAGGATTCACCGTTAATCCTTCATTACCACATGGGGTCACTGTTCAGCAACTTTCTTTGGTATCAATATATTTTATGTGCTAAAAGGTCTTTTTCCCTTAGATGTCCACTTTAAAGACAGAACAGGAAACTAAGACAATGAGCATGATATATATGATGTATATGATGTATATGATATATATATATGTTGCACCTCTCTATGGGCCTTTTAAATTAGTTAAGCAGAGCCGGCCAACTTGTCAACTAACAGGGTGCGTCTCAAGTGAAGGGAAGTGGTTTCTATCTTGTAGAGGCCTTGTGTTTTCCTGATCCAGATCAGGTATCCAGACACGGACCACACGGGATCGTAGTTACCGTAGGAGTGATCCAGCAGAGGGTTGGACATGTTGGGGACGTAACCGTCAGGAGGAGAGTAATTCTGGCACACTACGAAGGCCTCTGCACACAGACACACAGACACACAGACAGACACATACTGTGAGTAATGAATGTGGTACAATAGACACAATTTAATAGTTTAAGACGATTTTATCAAGCAGTCTGTGCACAAAAGTTGTATAAAAGATGACTATATGAGCAGGTGGGCGGGGTTTGTCTGCTGTTTGAGCCGTGTGAGTGGTCCACAGGTGGTGGGTGGTGGTGGGTGGTGGGTTACTTACCTATGCTGGAGTTCCTGCTGCTGCGAGGCTTGGCGCAGGTCACACCACTGAAGAAGATCTTCAGCTGAGAGTACAGCAGAGTCACGTCTTTACCTCTGAAGATCTGAGCCAGAAGAGTGAAACCTTCACCTTACATTACCACGCACACAGCCGACTGCATCGCCACAGTTCAGCATCCAGAGACCGTTATTCCACGACTTCTTATTGGGCTTCAGCCTCACGTTTAACGGTAAATGAAACCTGGTGGAGATCTGAACTCTACTGAGTTCTTTGTAGATAATAAATCACCCGAACAAGAGCTGGACTCACCTTGGCCACAAACGTCCCTCCAGGTTTCAGGACGTGAGTTGTGATGTTCAGAGCCTGAGAGACAAACGGGGATCAGTGTGACATCGCAGACCGACAGGTGAACAACAAAAACACACCTCCGTGTACTCACGGCCAACAGGAGCTGAGCCTGGATGTACTCGTCCACGTCGTGGAGCCCGGTTACTATGGAGAAAGAGCGGTAAAATGACTGAATTAAAAGTAAAAAAGGGAGAGCCTTAAGAACAGGCGAGGACAGACAGGAAGTCTCACCGTCTGGAGCTCCGTCACACACCACCAGGTCGGCCGGCTGACCCTCAAAGTGACGGATGATCTCCTGAGCCGTCGACACCTGAGAGGAAGAAGAAGAAGACACGGGTCATGTGATGCACCGCCGCACTTCTTCGAGTCTTTGAAGAAGTTCTACGGGTCCTTGAGGATCCGTCGCCTCTTTAAAGACCCAAAGAAACTAAAAAGAACCTCCTCCAGGACCATTGGGACCGCCTCAAATATGACTAGAACTTGGATCTTGCGTCCACTCCTGAAGCCGTGCCCACAATTAGCTCCTGGAACGTGAACGCAAAATTCTAATAAAAGGAGAACCAACGACGATGTGTCTATGTTACGTTTGGTTAAGATCCCGCAGTGGACAAGAGGACGATCAGAGCTGCATGCTCGTCCACGGTGTCCTCACCTTAGTGATGTCTCCCTGGATCTGAGTGACTCCTGGTAGAGGAGCCATGGCCTGCAGGTCCACCGCCACGATCTTCACCTCCTCACCGGCGTCGCCCTTCTCCTCCTGAGCTCTGAGTGGAAAAAAACAAAACAACGACATAGTTAACTCTTGGCTTTATTAAAATCCATTTCATATCTGTCCAGGTGAGCTTATGGTTAATAAAGAAGATGTAAAACCTGAGTTTCCGACTGAGGACTTGACTCCAGCTGCCAGGAGCTGCACACAGATCAACGGCTCTGTTCACACCTGAGAGGGAAAATAAAACCTTAATGCAAATCAGACATTTAATAGAAGACAGAAGAAGAACACAGCCTGAAGAGCCCAAAGAGGACCCAGACTCCGGCTCAGTTCCACCCTTTTCAGGGGGCTGTAGTGTAGGCGGGACCTGTCGGGGACCTGTCGGGTGTCTGGTCGTCTCAGGTGTCTCACCTGTGAACAGGTTGAACTCGTGGTCGAGCTGCAGCAGCTTGAAGGCACTCCTCGCTCTCCAGCCCTCCTCTTTGGCCAGACGGTAGTAAATGTCCCGCTTGTCTTTGGAGGAGCGACCCATCCTGACCTCTGACCCCTTTGATGAAAACAAAACACACACAGAACCAGTAAGACACCAGCAACATCTTACTGGTTTCTCTTCTCTCAGTGGAATAAATAGTTTTTACCAAATTAAATTCCATATAAACGACTGTTGTTAACCAACTAAGAAAGTCAAGATTCATCATTAAAGACTTGCGTTTGGTTTATTCTATATCAGCCGAATTTACCAGCACGTCTTAATGAATTCACAATATATTTGATAATTGTTTAGAACACATTGTTATAGTGCTGAACACCGGGTAACCCGATTTAAACCACTTGTAAAACGGGGTTTTGCGTAGAGTGCACAATAAACTGCATATTTCACGGCTGCCGGAGCTTATTGTCGAACGTTCGATTAGTTTATGTCTCCAGGGAGAATATATACATCTTTATTTAAAACAATATATGTAAAACAATAGCGCAATATCACATTCCACATACAATGAACCGTTTACAAACTGTGTTGCTTACTGTTCACGTGTTGTTCCGGTGTTGACGGTGGAAGGACCCCCGGTGGTAGCGGTCCTACGAAAACGCCTGTTCAAAATGACGGTGCCCTTGACGAACATCAATGATAAAAGATCAAATACAGACATTCATCTTTTTGAATCAAACTTATACTTTAGTGACGACAAACTTTATGAATGTTTTTCTTTTTCCTTGTAGTAATTCCCATTGTTTCCATGTTTCTGTCGTCTCAGTAGCGGCCACACGGTGTCGCTGCAGACACAGGAAAGAGAATCACTCAGAGAAATATCACTGATGTATTTGGGTCCAATTAAAAGGACGTTTCTATTGTTCTGTATCAAAACATATATACACAGATACATTTTATTTAAAACGAAAATAATGTGGATGGAAAATAATCATTAATGCTCCAAAAATGATTTAATCTTAATGCACTATGAACTAGAAGACCATAATATTTTCGGTGACCAAGTGTTCACTGAGGGGTTTATTTGCCCGTTTCGTGGAGTTTCAAGGATTGTTAAATGGTTATAAATGTGCAATAACCCAATATAGCCAAAATCTGTTACGAAAACAGACGGATTACCTTCAATTCAGCAATTAAATCATCATTAATCATCAATAAATTAAATGTTTTTCCAATTTAAATTAAAGTTATGCAGCGATTTGTTTCCTTAATGGAAGTCTATGAGCCTTCTATAACACTTGAAATTAGAAATAAAGAGTTTTGTCTTCCTATATTGTTCATTTCATTATCAATTAAATGGTCACAAAATTATGTGTTTGTTCAGGGCGGTCTTAAACAAAGTGTCAAATTCATGTATTTTGTATATAAATGAGTATGTGTGTAGTAGTAGTAGTAGTAGTAGTAGTAGTAGTTTTACATCTTGTTGTGGTTGTTTTAAAGCTTTTGTGGTTGTTTGGAGTCTCTGTAGTTGCATTATGTCTCTTTGTAGCCATTTTGTTCCAATTTGTTGTTGTTTTGAGTTTCTTTATCAGTTTATGTCTCTTCGGGTTTGTTTTTTAACTCTTTGTGGTAGTTTTGAGTCTCTTTCTCGCTGCTTTTACCTTTGTTAAATCGGTCCATTTAAGATAATATTTACACTCTGTGAATTTTGGCAAACCTTTCTGAACTGTGTTTTTATGAAAATGATGATCTTTAATTTCACAAGAAGCTGCCGACTGATTGCTGATTATACGACTGTTTCCATGAGCAGCAGGCCAGGCTGAGATGTTCCTGTCAGATTCATGCGGTCAGCATCTTCTTATTATTTTCGGTACATGTTTCAACATCAGCAGAGAGTCATTGAGAGGAGACATTACAGCTGCAACTAAGCATAATGTTAAAAGTTGATGAATCCATCAGTTATGTTTTTGAAGTGATCAATCATTGAGTCTATAAAACACGAGTGGTGTTTAGTGCAGCACACATTGTTGAGATGGAGTCCAAGGTGACATCTTCAAATGTCTTGGTTTGTCCGACCGAGAGTCCAGAAGCCAAAGATATTCAGTGGAGTCAAACTTATGCCTTTCACTTTTCAGAGGTAAAATACAAGAAAGTCTTGTTGGAGTCCTGATCCAGACCCCTCCAGAACCAGTTCTATCAGAACCAATGCTCTACAGTCCAGCTCCTTTCTTTCCGGCTCTTCAAGAGAAGTCCTTTGGCTGCGACCATTCCAAACTTCTACCAGTTTTCTGTACATTTGAAAGCTGCCACAGAGCATCTGAATCATAATCCACCTCCATCGTTCTGTCATGAATCAAAGAACAGCAGTGAAAGTGTCCTGATGATCAACCAGACAACAGAGGTGAGTGTGTGTGTCCTCACTCACTTTACACCTAACACAATTATTTCAGCTGTTTTGGAATATTAAATTAAACGATGGATCACTTTGAGGATCTGGTTCAGGTCCAAACTAAACCTGTAGAAGCAGCATTCAGTTCTGATGCTCCACAAATGTGAAACAATCTGCAGCTCTGCTCCAGCTCTCAGTTCTCTAAGACTTCTCTGTTTGACACTGAAAATATGAATTTTATGAAGTTGAATTTGAGACTTTTTCCCACTTTTCACTGCAACTGCTGCACAGCAACTTCCCTCTGGATGAATCCAGATTATCCTAAATACACTGACGGGATTTAGAATAATAGATTAAAACTTGACTAAAAGAAGAACAGAATAAAACACGTTGTTGTTGGTGTGAGTGAGCAGTTTATTCTCTGATATAATGATTCAAGAGAAATATCTGTGAGCGCTCTGCTCTGATCGTCTTCACTGATGAGTTACTGGTCTTCAGTTGTACACATCATATTCACACCTCTCTGAACTGTGTGAGTGAAACTGATTATATCTGATTTCACAAGAAGCTGCGGACTGATTTCAGATTATAGGAATGTTTCCATGACAGGCTGAGCTGTTCCTATCAGATGAATGCTGTCAGAGTCGTCTTATTATTTCTGATAGATGTGTTAACTTCAGCAGTTACAGCTACTTACTACTATAACTACTGCAGTCTGTGTGTAACTGTTTGCGTTCTCTCACTGTGTCTCACTCAGTTCACTGCATCATGTTTCTGTGTTCTTTCACTTGAATTAGTGCTTCGTGAAGCTGCAGGATGTCTTCAGCTCTGCTGCTTTCTTCATTCACATCGACTCATATTGTTTTATTCTGGAGGTTCATTTTTCAATCTCCGCTTTTTATTTTGAAATTGATCTGAAGCTGTGAATCTGTTTGTGTTGTTTTTAGCTGCATCAACACGGTTTAAGTGAGGCTTGTACACAGACCGACTGGTCCATGTGACTGTCGATCATCAGATCAATATCTCTGTGAGCACATCCAGCACCTTCCTGTGTGTTGCTGTTGTGATCCATACATCATGTGTGCTTCAGTTTGCTTGTTTCTCCTTCACCGAATAGCTTCTTGTGATTTATTAGTTCTGATGATTTAATAAACTCACATGTTGTCTGTTCCACGTCCAAAAATGATCCGACTGGACCCAAGTTCAACAACCCTTAAAGTACTTTGTTAAAGTAGTACTAGTACTAAATGTATCTGTGCAATACAAGTATGAGTGTTTAGTTTTACGTATGTGTTCATATTTTATTCAGATTGTTTGATTAGGAGGATATTTTGTATCAAAATCCCTTTAGCACAAAAGTAATCAAACGACTTAAGAACAACAATAAGCAAAGTCCTTATGAAATATGCAAAATCCTTATTTAGAAAATTAGGTACATTTATGAAGTAATAAAAACCCATAATTACAACATTCTTATTAATAAGCAATATCCTTAATTACATAATATTGAAAATTCATACAAAATAAGCAAACATGTAATGAGAAAGGTAATTTCAATAATTACAAAATCAAGTGAAACTCTCGTGATTTAAGCAAAATAATTTTTCTTAATTCCTAAATTACAAAATTAAATCAATTTACGAAGAACAAAAATTTGCAAAAATCTTATGAAATAAGCAAAATCATTGATTAGAAAAAACTAAATCCATAATGACAATGTTCTTATGAAATAAGAAAAATCCATAACAATAAAAAATAGTAAATTGATTGATTGCAACATTAATGAAGTACAACAATGAGCTAAATTCTAATGAAATAAGTAATATCCTTAATAACACAATAAACCAAAATGCATATGATTTAAGTAAAAAAAGAAAAAAAAGAAAAATTAATAATTACAATTTTCTAATGATGTAAGCAAAATCCTTAATTACAAAATGAACTACAATGATTAACTACAACTATGAGCAAAATAATAACATTTCTGAATCACAAATAAATGAGTTTTTAGGGGCTGATCACAGCGGGACGTTGTTCCTATTTGTATTATTATGATTATCTTTGAGCTAAATGTTGTCCTGCTGCCAAAATGTTGCTCACTACAATAAGTGAAGTCATGAAGTTCATTATACTTTTAAAGGACAAACAGCAACAGATTGTCAACATTGAGTATCGTTCTACAGAATGTAGAAGATAGAAGTTAATGTTTCATGTTTAATATCTCACAGTAACATTGTTCCTGATAGTCTCTGGTTTCTGCTTGGACTCTGGTAAACCGGCTCTCAAGTCTACTTTTAAATGAAGCTTTATATCTGTGAGGTGTTTTTAAAGATTCACGTCTTCAGCAGGAACCAATGGGCTTGGAGCTGAGAGCCACAGACAGGAGGTCAGAACGTGTGGAGAGACCAACACATTGTTGAGAGTAAGAAAGACTATAATAATGTGAGATCATATTCAGCCTTCTGGTTTCAAGGGAACATGCGTATCAAAGGGAGCTGATGGTGGTTGTGTGGTAGAAATCATCTGGATGTGAGATGAGCTCCTTGGAGGAGCTACTCTGCTCCCTGAGCTCCTTCTTCTTCTTCAGCTGCAGGAACACCCAGCTTATAACGAACCAGCTCAGTGTTCTTCTGTCTGCACGGCATCTGCCCCCTGTTGGCCTGCAGAGACATGACAGCACAGTCCTGTCTTCAGTTCACTAAACACAGAGCGAGAGCTTCATCTCAGTGGCTGGTCTAAACAACAGACGTGTGTCCGTACCTTACAGTAGAAGTAAAGGGCAACGTTCAGCAACAGCAGAGTCAGCAGCAGGACGATCGCTCTGATGATCAGAGGTGTTGGATCTGAACAAACACATGGACAGTCATCACATCACACGACATCATGAGTCCAACAGCTCCCACTGACCCTGAAATCTACAATCACTGACACACACTAACACGTTAACGACCGTCTCAGCGTTTGGTTTCCAGGATGACCCTGGTTCTCTGAGTGAGGTATCGGAGCACACCGCCCTTCTTGCTTCTGATTGGTGGAGGAACTACACTTGAAAATGGCGAGTTATGACTAAGGGGTGTTATGACTGATGTGGTGGCAGTGGAGCTTTGTGATTGGTCACCTCAGAAGCTGCTTCAGTTCTCAGAGAACCAGAGTTATCCTGGTATCCAAACCTGCTCTGTCCTACAGTAGATTGTTACAGACTGTGTTGAGGTTTGGTTACTATATGACATGTGTAACACAATGACAGGAGTCACAGTGTCATTCTAGAAACAACAACATGGACTCTGTGGTCAGCTGATCATCTTCAGTCAGTTTGGACCAATCATCTTCAAACCTGCATGTAAACAGTCAGCTTACCTAAGACAGTGATAGAGAGCAGACGGCTCTCAGAGGAGAAGTTATGATTAAAAACATAGAGGTGATAAACACAGCTGTAGCTTCCTTGGTGGGCGGGCTCTACAGCAGGAAACAGGAAGTGGGCAGAGTGATTGACAGCTGGCTGGGTGTAGTTGTGTGCTGAGTTGGAGGAAGTGAAGGTGAGCTGGAAGGAGCCTCCTAGGTACTGTGGCTGGATGGAGCAGCAGATGGTGAAGGTGGAGCGCCGGAGCATCGGAGCCCCCTGCTGCTGGGCCTCGGAGACCCCGTACATTGAGGAGGACACAGTGATGATTGGCTGAAGCAGCAGGTCTGTAAACAAAGAGAGATGATGAAAGTTCATGTTTACCCTCCATTGAACGAGATGGACCCTGAATAAGCACGTGATGTCAGAGGACTGACAGACAGAGAGACAGAGAGACAGACAGGTGTGTCCTCCAGGTGGAGCTCGGCAGTCTAAGGAGGGTTTGAAGCTTCCAGAAACAAGCCACCTCTCTACACTTCAGGATGTCGTTGTCCTGGTTAACTTTACAGTTCAGTCCAATGGAAACCCATTGACTGTCACTGTGACAGAGGAAGAAACATACTGGAAACACTGCTGTCAGAGATGATGTCACTGATGGGCTTACCTGAGCAGATGAGATCCAAGATGGAGGAAGAATGTGATATTACACACTCTCTCAGAGCAGATCCTGAATGAACACATGTAGAAACGATCCACCACACAGATATCTCTGAGGACTCTTCTCTCTCTCTGATAGAAACAGCAGAGCCACAGTCCAGCTCTCTACA